GCAGGAACCATTATTTTTATTTATACACACACACAAATAAATATATACATGTGAAAAAGAAATTAAAGACTCAGAGGATTACAGGAGCTCAAATCTTAAGGCAGTTATCAACTACTACAAGACTTGCAATAAAGTTCCACATCATGTTTGCTTATTAAATAACTACGTCCAGTTGTTATGAAAACCATGTCCAGGATATAACAGTACACAAGGCAACAGCTTAAGGCAGAAATAAGTACAACATACTAGAGAATATGCACATAAAATTCCACTTGGACAAAAATAAATTACACAAACTGGTATTTCACCAGGGCATAGTACACAACACACTTATTCACCCCAAGCTTATTAATGAGCCAAAGATTTGTTGGCCCCTCAACCACATGACACTTGAAAAGCAGTGGTTTGGGCAGCCCACAGTCCCTATGCACCATGGCACCACCTGCCCAGTGTCACCAAGAGAAGTATCAATTACCAATCCACACACACATCATTTCTTTTACTCCTCCAACATTTGATTCTCCACTCAGCTCTCATAGGGGAGTGCCAGCATGAAACCACCACCATCAGCAGCCATCCTATCCTCCATTGACTCATACATAAATGATGCCTGTGGCACCAGGCAGGGGGGAGGTGGGGAATACATCTGGGGGCTTTCTCGGTTCTCCGTTAAAATGCCCTAGGCCAGTCCTGTTTCCTCATGCACCAAGCACATAATCCAAGCTGATAATGCCACCAGTAAAAGCTGTAGGGAAGGTATCTCCAGAGGCAGGTATGATGCCAAAGCCCCTATTTAGTGAATCTTTACAGCTAATGAGCTGCAGGGCAGCTCCTCAGTACACACCGTCATACCAATATTAAGAAGTCACCCTGCTCAAATATTCTATAAAACACAGCTCCCAGCACTAAAACTTAAGTGCATATATAAGCTTTTCCATGACTGGGACCTGACCTGCTGCTCCTACACCTCTGAAATCAACTGGAAATGCAACACTTCACTGCCTGAGAGCAAAACAGAAGCCCAAATGGCCAACACACTTCGCCAAGGGGTTGGTATATAACAAAAAGCAAGAAAATGACAGAGTGGTGAAGTGCAGAGCCTATCTCATTACTGCTACAGTTTTAGCATTGATTTTTTTTTTTAATGGCACACTTCACTCCAGCTCTCACTGTCACATCAATATTATAGATACAAGAGCAAAGGGAGGTCTGGGTCTCCTGAGAAGAGTTTCTTTTAAAGAAAGGCTCAAAGGACAACCCAAATCCATTGCATTTGACCCTGGGGATGGATGAAGTGTAAAGTCTTTATGGAACTCCAAGGAGTCAAACAGCATTGAACACATCCAGGCCTCTCTGTCAATCTCCTCATCATTTGCAAAGTGCATGAGGATCCATTTGTAAGGTGCCACATGGCATACGCATTATTTAATCCCAAATGCTTTATAAATTCATATATGAATGCTATGCAGTTGTTTTGGAACCATTTTTACACTTTTCACCCTGTTCCCCATCCTAGCTTGATTTCAAATCCTATTTGACAGATTTTAGGGTTTATATGAGGAAAAAAAGTAAATCTTACAGCCATCCTCCTAACCATATCTCAGATACTGACTGTATTAACATTGTAGCTGAAACAACCCCATGGTCTGCAACTCAGAGTGGTCCAGGCTTCAGTTCATCAAAACACAAGTCAACCTAAGCAAAGCAGTTGGCAGGTTGCTCACATGCTGCATCACACCAGCTCCTTTCCGACAGACACACTGCTCAGCAGACAAGCCAGACTCCAGGTGTGCATTGCACTGCATAACCAGCTGATTACACAGCACTTACCTGTATCTAACAAAAATCTGCTCCCCAATAAACTAAGGCGACTCAAGCATTCATTCCCACCGTATGTAAAGTCAACTCAGAAACTCACAGTCACCAAACTTCAAAGCATCAGGCTCCTTTTCACCACACACCACAATAGCAAAAGGCACAGTAAATACTCCTCGTGGGGACAACCCTCCCAAGTTTCACATGGAACATAGTCCCTGCCTTAAAAGGGAGTTAGGATCTACAATTTTTGCAGTGACAGTATTACACATTTATACGCTAATATGTTTCCAGAAACAATTTTAAAGCACAGAAGTGGTTCTTTCTCCTCTTACTGCACTGCAGCAAAGCAATATGGCAGCTGTTTAACAGCACATAACAAAATTGCAGGACTGTTCATGAAAGAAAAAATAATCTTCAGGGGAGGGAGATTTAAGTAGGTAGAATACAATTACCTAAATTGAAATTTGCTGGTTAATAACCTTGTGCTTGGAAAAATTGCTAAATAGCCCTTAACTATCAGAGCATCCATTTTAAGTCTCATTGACAGCACTTCCGTGACAGTGATCACGAAGCTCTAGCCTAGTAAAAAGTCAATGAGAAGATTAATAGGCATTTAATTAATGCCCTATCTTTTGCTGAATCTTCAGGAAATGGCAGGGGTTAACCTATGACAGTGACTCAGCCTGCCCCTGCTTAGCTTAAGCACATTGGAGACCCAATAGCTCAGTATAACAAGAATTAAAGACTTCAGACAAGGAAAAAGCAGGCAATCATATCAATCCTTAGAAGACACAATTTGACTTTCACAGAAGCATCTTTTATAAAGGGTCTCATTCCTAGCCAGGGATGAGGCCACAGCAAGAGATCTGCCACCAGGCCATGAAAAAGTATCCTTTCTCTGGTGCTGTTAAAAAAAAAAAAAATAAAAAAAAATAAAAAAAAAACACCAAAACAAACAAACAAAAAAAAACAAAAAAAAAAAACAAAGAAACACAAACAACCAAAAAAAAACCACAAACCAGAAAAAAAGTGTGATGCCAAGAACATATGATAACCTGCAAGAAGCCTTCAGGGTGCAGAAATAAACCCACATCTTAGAAAAAAGTAAATTTATGGGAACTACTTATTGCATGATTCATCTCCAAATGAGGACTACAAGGGGTTAAGGGGAAATCAAAGGAAGACCTGAATCCCCTCCTCTCAGTCTCCATTTGTCATACAATCTCCTAACTTCATGCAGCTGAGCTGAAATCTCAGGTCTAAAACTACCTTTTCAAATGGTTTCCAGCATCCCCACCACTGACCTTCACCTCCTGGTACCACAGGTAGCCAGGTGTAACATCATCAACAGGTGATCAAATGTGGCTTTTCCCTTCTTGCTATAGTTCATAATAGGAAAAACTCCTTTTCTGAGTTAAAGAGCACACATGTCTGAGGATTAGAACAGAAGCAACATTTAAACACTAAAATGGCTATATAATGTCCAACTCCTTGAATAACATCTCCAACAACTTAAAATCAAACTCCTTGCAAAATATAAAACTGGAGGGAATATTCTGACTGACTTTTTAGCTAGAAATAGGGACAGGCTCCTCTCATCTTCCCATATAACCTCCTTCCCCCACTCAAGGTTAAATCTTCATCCCAAACCCAAGTTACTACTTGTCTTTGATTTCCCAAACCTAATCTTTTTGTTCAGACACAAATGTCTTGTGCTTTACTCTGAGCCCATCGCATACTGAGACAAGATTCCCAGGACATAATAACTAGCACAGACACACAGTGAGACAGACAGTGATAGAAAAGCAATGCATAATTCAGTACAAAATTTTAAAGTTTTATGGAGCAGCCAGTAGAAAGGAAAGCAGAAAATTTAAATCTCCAATGTGTTCTCAGCCATAACCTGGTTTTGAGATTGAAACACCTCTTTAAGGACTTTTGAACTTTAAGACAACAGCTTTGAGCTCAAATACAAACCTTGACCTACACTTGAAATCAAAACAAATCTCCAGATTCATCAGCCATCTAAGGTCATCTGTTACTGCTGACACCTCAAGACTTCAGCCAAGGTTCAGCTCTTGAAGTTGAAAATACTCTTAGAATTTTACTAGTCTCTGCTTTGTGCCCAGACACTCAGATTTCATCTAGAAGCCAGTGCATCAAAACCAGAACAAGCAACCTTATCAATAACACCCACCTAACCAGGACCTAAGAAACTTCCAGGTAGAAAACACCATCGCTTGAGATTTCTGACCAGAAAAAAGGTCACGTAAAACTTCAGACCAACCTCTCTGACGACTCATCTTCTCCACTTTCTCCCCATCATGAATGGTTCCACAGTCCAAAGAATAGCAAATGCTCTCCACCTGGTCTTCATATGGCATCAGGCTGAGGAGCCACAGAGGCCATTGCCCTCTCAGCAGGCTCAGGGCTAATGAACCATGCAGGTGGCCAGCATTTGTAGTGATGAGTTGCAAGGGGCCTCCCTGCAATCAAGGCACTGAGTATGAATGGCGGCACATGTATGTGACTGCTGACCCACGGAAAGGGAGGATGTGCTTATGTCCTAGGGATCTCTCACAGGGTGTATGGAGCTCAGCATCAAATTCTGAATAGATTCTCCCGTTTGTTCCTGGCCAGACATTACAACAAGACGCTGGCAGGACAGTGATGTGCTAGATGGAAAGGCAAAGGGTTGCCTAGGTATCCCTCCAGTCGAGGTACAGGAGGAAGGGTGGTTCCCTCACCAAGGGCAAGATGATCTCTCACTAAAGCCTGTACACTCAGACACCTCTGCCATTCATGGCAGTCTTTGACAAGCTCCAGGGCTAGCAATTCCTGCTCTGTCCCTGGCAAAAAGGGAGCTGTAAAGGGAGAGAACAGGCCTTTCCAATATTCCTCTCTTCACGTCTCCATTCTCCTCTCACCCTGTCCCCTGTGCCTGGGACTGTCAGCAGCTCTCTTTAAAGTCCCTTCTTTCGTAATGAGTTTCTTTTGATCACACACTAAACCAGCAGACATTCTGCTTAAATGCAACTGATGAATGAACAAAAAAGGCCATTAAATATGTAGGAAATGTCATTCCTTACCTGCCAGGTGCCCTGGAAGGGCAGTGTGAAGATAGGATGGGGCAGGAGGGAGCCAGAGGTGGGGAGGGAGAAGGGACAGCTCAGAAAGGATATGGGTTGCACACCATTTTGATGCACCAGCTCCGTGGGCTGGTGGTCTGTTTCAAGCAGAAGAAAACAACTGGGGCCAAATCAGGGTAGGGGACATCAGGATCCGGCGGGGAGGTGACTTCTTCATCCTCACCCAGCTCTGGGGAGGATGGTGGTTGCTCCGGTGGTGTTTGTTGTTCCGAGATCCCCAGATCCACAGGCTCCAGTGGGCAGATGGCAGAAGTGTGAGGGGGCTGTGGGCCTGCAGGCCAGGTGGAAGGAGGCTGGGGAACGCACTCTGCCATGCCCGCCACAAGTGAGAACTCCTGGAAAGAAGGAGAGGAAGGGAAATTAAATCCCATGAGGAATCAACAGCAAAAGCACAGCACATCCATGCCCTGTTAGAGAGTCTAGAGCAGGGAAGAGCTGAAGGACTGACAGCTCTGACAAATGATAAAACACATTTGCACGTTGTGCTGAAGCAATTTTAAGTGAAACCCTTTTCTGCCAGTTGCTCTCTCCATCAAGATTCTTCTGGCTAGTGCTCTCCATCACTACCTATTTAAACCATCCCTGTAGTCCCTAAGACACCTTGTCATGCTGCTGCACCATCTCATAGGATGGTGCCAGCTCTTTTGGAGACAGCCTGAGCACCTTAATGGAGCACTGTGTTTTGAGTGGCATTGCCCCATCCTGACACAACAGAGCCACCCTGCCTTCACAGTCCCGCACGTGGTCCTACCAAGCCCGGGTTCAGCTTTGCTGCCCCAGCTCTCCCATCCAAGAGCACACTGGGTTGGCCCTGTGTCACACCATTGCACAGGCTCTTTCAGACTGACACTGACAAATGCATGCCAAACCCACACACAACAGTCACCCACTCAAACAGGGTAATGTAAGCCAGAAGTGGGACTACATTTAAGCACCCTTCTCCAGAGTTTGTTGAGCTCTCCAGCGCTGGGGCAGTGGAAACACCATGAACACACGAAACCATGGCAAAAGTTGTTCTACTAAATGGAATGGTCAGAGGTGCTCTGGGAGGCCACAGGAAGAGCAGGTCTCAGACTCAGTGGCACCCTGTGCTGGCTTTGGCTGGGGTAGAGTTAATTTTCTTCTTAGTAGCTAGTGTGGTGCTGTGTTTCAGATTTGTGCCAGAAACAGTGTTGATCAAGGCCTTTTCTTTTTCTCATATCACCGTGCCACCTGGTAGGCCAGCGGTGCACAAGAAGATAGGAAGGGATGTATCCAGGAGAGCTGGTCCTAAATGACCCAGGAGATATTCCATACAAAATGACATCATGATCAGCATATAAAGTTGGGGGAAGAAGAAGGAAAGGGAGGAGCATTCAGAGTGATAGGAGTTTGTATTCCCAAATCAGTGTTAAGCATGATGGAGCCCTGCTTTCCTGAAGATGACTGAACACCAGCCTGCCCAAGTGAAGTGATGAATGAATTCCTTGTTTTGCTTTAATTGAGTGCACGACTTTTGCTTTATCTCATTTTTCTGCCCTTTTCTCTTTTACTCTTTTGATTCTCCCCTATTCCATCCGGGGGTAGTGAGGAAGCAGTTGTGTGTGGCTTAGCTGTCAACTGGGGTTAAACCACAACACACCTGAGCACTGCAGAGCACCATGCTTTTGCTAAAGAACGTCTCTTTGCTGCCTGGGTGCACTTAACAGCAGCCTTGTTCTGGGAAAACACAAAGCCAAATGTTCCCAATTAAAGTACGGAGTGGAAGTTGCTTGTTGAAATGAGGGGAGTAAAATAAACTCCAAGGCCTGAATTTGGAAGGGTGTTACAGTGACAGTCTAAGGAAAGAGTGCTTGGCCAAGGACTGCCCACTTTCTTCCCTTCACCCTGTTGATTCAATCATCTGGAGTGCCCTTGCTACAAATACATGTTTAAAAGCAACACAACAGCCCTCAGACACACTGCAGTTCAGAAAGGGATGATCAGCAGCAGAAAAGAAAGTGTCTGTCCATGGCACAGACCTCATCTCCTTGCATACTGGCTGTACCAGAACCCAGACACTTGCCTCAGTTCTCTTCCCTTTAGGATCACAAAGCCTACACACACTGCTGTTGACATTGCTTTGCCTTGGAATGGCTGCACCCTTGACATTTCAGCTCGAGATGCTTTTGATGCCCACACTGCTGGATCCACGATCTCCACGGCTCTCTATAGCACACATTTGTCAGGCGCTCGCCAGCCTTCCCACTTTGGGTTGCAGTGCATTGTCATTCCCAGCTAAGACCCCGAAAACTCTACCTATCCATCCTGTTCTCTCAACCTCCTGCTTACAACATACACTTTGATCCAAAGCTTTGCTTGTTCTTCGAGGCTTGGTATTTGTCAGAAGAAAGAGCAGCAAGCACGGGGGGTTTAAAAAGCAGACATAGTGTCCCTTGGGGGATAGCGGAGAGACTCTTTGAATTCATTATCTCAAAGGCCAGAAGCTATTGGAAAGAAACAAGTAGTATGTCTCCTGACTGGCTTTTGGATGCTCTTCTTAATTTTTTAAGCCCTGTGAAAAAGTGGCCAGTGTATCCTTCTCACCACCCAGTGCCTCTGTTTTCTCTTTCACCAGGTTTTTGACTCTGGGCACCCAGAGAGCTACCTGTACCACCTTTTCCATTCCCTGTTCCCACCAGCTCCCCATTGCCTGCTCTGAGCTGCTCCCTTGCTGGCTCCCAGGCTATTAACATGCAGTGGCTGAGCCCAGCTTCCCTCCCATAACAGCACAGAGGAGAAAGATTAGCAGGACAGCCAGGAGGAATTACTTACTACAGTGCTCAGAGCATGCACACTGACTAAGGCATGGCAATTCCAAACTGCGACCGACAAAGATTCATAATTAACAGTACAACTGAGCAAAGGAATGGGAAAAACAACCTCGTCAGCATTTCCCTGCTTTCCCTTCAAGCAAGCATCCAGGGCCTCTTCTCCATCTTATCACTGCCAGATGCAGCTGGGACTTTGGGATGCTACTCTGCCCATGTCAAACACATATGCTCAAAGTGGGTAGTGGCTGCATCACCGACAGTTCATCACTCCAATTTGGGCAGCTCAAATTGACTCATTAGGAGTTGTAAGGACACAGAGCCAGGTGAATCCCTTTGGAAGTCCTGAAACTAAATACTGTCCTTGAATGACAGCTGCCCCACTGGAGATGTGAGTAATACCCCTTACATTCCTCAGATTAAATCCCCTTCTGCCTCCCAAAGCAGCCCCAAGGCTGTGATCACGATGTATTTCCTACATTAAGCAGGATTAATATTCTGTGTCAAAAGAGAGAGAGGGGAAAATCAAGCAGTGGGGTACTTCTGAGCTCTTTATGCAGTCAGCCCTCCTGTCTCAGTTTCAAAGAAGAATAGAGTGGTTTTACTGCCAGAGACAGGCGCAGGGTCCTCACCGCTACCATCTCAGATATGGAGGTTGGAATGAGCTATTTCCCCTATTTTGGTCAGGCAATGCTGCTATTTTCTCTGGAATTGCAATCACTGGCCTTCCCATGCTGTAGCATTGCTGTGTAACTTGATTAGAGTCAGCCTGCTACAATATTTCAACCTAGGGAAGCCCTGTTTAAACCAAAATCACCAAGAGGAAAGAGTTTGGCACACGCACACAGCTGCATACACAGAAAAACGTGCATCAGTGGAGAGGGTTCCTACTCAGGTAAAAGACAGTAATAGTGAGACCAGAGAAAATTAAAAATCTCCAGAACTTGCCTTTGGGATGCCTCTAACCTTCCCCTTGTGCAAGTGCACCTTACCGCGATGAGGGCAACACAAGAGGACAATTATATGTTTCTGGGGTGGCCAAAACCAGATTCGTCTCTCTCACTCTTTTGCTCAAACAAACCTAACTCCAGCTGGTTGGTGGCAGGCCAGACCCATCAGTGAAAATCAAATCCTCTCCACCTCAGATTTTCTGGCCAAATGCCCCCCAAATACACAAAAACATTCCCCTGCAAGTCACATACCACTGGAGGAGTGATGCTACACCAGCTGCAACTCCCTCCCAGGGGAAAGGAAGTTATTTGTGGGCTGGCAGCTCCTGCTTCTCTCTCTCTGCATAGCCTGTGCCAAAACCTTCTGTGGAGCCAGGTCTCAAGTCTGCACCCCCTCCTCCCACCTCAGTCCATCTCCAAGGACCATCTAAAACCATCACCGTTCCAGGCTGAGCACCCACTGGTCCTGCATACGGCACACACACCTGCCCTGGACACGTGTGCTGGCAGGGAGCTCAGTGACTTGGCAAGCACAGAAGAAGCTGACAGCCTCTGGCTCAGCCTTTCCCCAAAAGCACCTGGTCCTGCCAGACTCTGCTGAGGAGAAAGGGAAAAGGATGCTCTAAAATAACAAGGGAAATAATGGACTTAGCAAACAGTGGAAACTGGTTAGGAAAAAAAAGAGAAGATGTCACAATTCAAGAGAAGTGCTACAGATGAGGGGTGTCTGTCCCCAAAGGTCAATGTCACCTCCTGGTGTGCACTGCTCAGAGAGGTCCCTACCTAGACATGCTCTCCTCCAGAGCTGCAACTGGCATCCCAAGCCTGTTAATGCCATGACCTGCCATGAGCAAGCCAGCCCAAGGTGTCCTGCAGGCATTACATCCCAGCTAAAGCTTTCTGGCTCCTCGCTACTGCTTCTCAGCAGGGCTTTGGTCAGAGAGGGGACAACAAGGGCCATGGGTGAGGGAGGGCTGATGGGACCTTTACAGTGCTCATGCAGACCTTTCTGGACTATTGCTTCCTGACAGTGAAAGAGCCTTTTGCAGCCAGCCAGGAGAGGGAAATACCAGAGAGAGGTCCCCAGAGTACCATTCCAGTGCTGGAGGCAATCCACTCAGGGTCCACTGGGATGATGACTCCTGTCCCATGTGGGAGCATCCTCAGAGATCATCTTCCTCAGCACCATCCCTAACCCTGTATCCCTCGCCAGCCTACATTGCCCTGGAGCAGTCCCTTCCTCCCTGCACACTGTTCACAGAGGTAACACTGGAGTCCACATTGGAAATGAAAGTGCAGAGTGTAGTTCCTTTACGAGCAGACCTACGTACATATAGCACCTCCATCCTGAGGGCACACAAATTCTTTACAGACCATCCGTCACCATCAGTCACCCGCTACTCAGAAGCAGCAGGAAGCACAGCAGCCAGGCTGGACTGCTAACACCCTTGCAGAAGAGGGACAAAAATGACAAACTCCAGCTGGCATCACAGGGGAGGGCAAGACAGCCCCGTCAATCAGAGCAGCACCTGAGGCACACGTATTTATTTATCATCTCCAAACATCCATCCAAAAGCCCACAAGCATCTTGCGGCA